TGCCCTCGGTCAAATTCTGTAAAAGCACAAATAAATAACCACTAAAAATACCATATAATGTTTACAGGGGAAAAATATGTGGAAAAAGCACAAAAAGATGCTTAGAAATGACACTTTTTTTTTTTTTTTTTTGTACCAGGGATCAAACTTCAGACCTTGCACTTGAGAGGCAGGTGGTGGAACCACTGAGCTAAATCCCCGGCCCAATGACATGCTTTCAAGATGGAGATTACCTCGAGAGAGAGAGCAGGTTGGGACAAAAGAGCACAGCTTTAGCTGTATCTGTGATATTTGATTTTTCCCTGCATTGGGAATTGAACCAAGGGCCTTCACACTGAGCTATGTCCCTAACCCTGTTTTCATTTTTAGAGACAGGGTCTCTCCAACTTGCTAAATTGCTCAGGCTGGGCTTGAAAAAAGATCCTCCTGTCTCAGCCTCCCAGAGTGCTGGGATTATCGATGTGCTCAACAATGCCCAATACTCTCCCCTTTTAAAGAAGTCACAAGTGAGAGGGGAGTGGTGACATAAACTGATAATCCCAGCACTCTGGGAGGCTGAGGCAGCAGGATTATCCCCAAGTTGAGCCCCAGTCTGAACAATTTAGCAATTTAAACCCTGCCTCAAAATAAAAATAAAAATGATTGGCAAAGGCCCTGGGTTCAATCTCCAGTATAGGAAAAAAAAAAAAAAAAGGAGAGGGAGTGGGAAGGGAAATCCAGAGTGGTAGCACATGCCTGTAATCTCAACTACTCTGGAGACAGAGGCAGGAGTATCTCAAATTTGAGGTCAGAGTGGGCAATTTAGGGAGACCTTGACTCTAACCCCAAAAAGGTCCAGAGCTGCAGCGCTCCATGGGTTCAATCCCTAGTACTGGGGAGAAAAAAAATCAAACAAAAACAACAGGATACAGGAAATCAAAATAATGAATGTTGATAATTATTGGAAGTTGAGTGATGGGTATAGTGGAGCTTATTATAGTGTTGTTTTGTCTGTTTGTTTGTTTTTGATATAGGGTCTTGCTATGTTGTCCAGGCTGGCTTCAAACTCTCAGTGATCCTCCTGTCTCAGCTTCCTTGAGTGCTGGGATTATGGGCATGTGCCACCATGACCAGCTCAGTGTTCTTTTTTGTAATCTTGAAAATTTTGTGTAAATTTGAAGTTTTCCATGAGTTTCATCAAAATGTTAAATTAATACTTAATTGTGTACATAATTTGCATATGGACAGAAAGTTGTCCGGAAAGGCCAAACAACTGTCAATAGAGGTAACTGCCTTGTTTCCTTCAACATATCATTTTCATAGCTTCTCTTTGGTATGTTCAGAGTCCTAAATCCCAAGCATTTCACTTAAAGTTTGTGGGTGGGTGGGCTGGCGGGGGTGGAAGTTGGCAGGGAGACCAGTCAGACAGCTCCTGACCTGGTTCAGGTAAGAACAGAATAGGGCTCTATTCATGACAGTAGAAGTGGAGATAGAGGGAAGGTGACTAACGCAAGAACTATTGCAAGCCTGGCACATTGATATGCACATAATCCCAGTACTCTGGGACACCAAGGCAGGAAGGTCACAAATTTGAACCCAGTCTGGGCAACTTAGAAATTTTTTTTTTTTGGTACCAGGGATCAAACTTGTACAGCAGGTGGTGAAACCACTGAGCTAAATCCCTGGCCCCATCTTAGAAATTTTTTTTTTTTTTGGTACCGGCAATCAAATTTGAGATCTTGCGCTTGCGAGGCAGGCACCAGAAACACTGAGCTAAATCCCTGGCCCCCCATCTTAGAAATTTAATGAGATCCTGAGACCCTGTCTCAAAATAACAATTAAATTAAAAAGGGCAGGGGTGTGCTGGGGATTTAGCTCACTGGTTCTGCCGCCTGCCTTCCAAGTGCAAAGTCCTGAGTTCGATCTCTGGTACCAAAAATAAAGGGCTGGGGCCTGGGATGTTGGCACATGCCTATAATCCCATCACTTGGGAGGTTGAGGTAGCAGTATCATTGTGAGTTCAAGGCCAGCTTGAGCTACATAATGAGTTCAAGACCAGTCTGAATTACAGAGTGAGTCCCTGTCACAAACAAAGAAAACCAAATTATGCTACCAGCCAATCAAAGATAACGGCTTTTTCCTACTTCCTTGCCCAATTACATCTACTGTTACTCAAGTGTGACCCATGCACTAGCAGCATTTGCACAAGTACACTTCACAAGCGAAAGCTGCATTTTGGCATCATAGAGGGCAAACTTTTTGATTCTAAAATAGCTGATGAGGGAACATGGACTTTGGAAGATAGAAAAATGGTCCTCATTGTTCTAAGACAAAGAGAGATGCAGCAAACAGCTGGACTTCTCTTCTAACATCTGAATATGGTGCTGATCCTTGGGTGCAGAACCAAATGCAGAGAAAGCTTACACTGGAGAGGTTCCAGAAAGAAAATCCTGGTTTTGACTTCAGTGGAGCAGAAATGTCAGGAAACTACACTAAAGGTGGACCAGATTTCTCAAACCTTGAGAAATAATTGTTATTTTTTTGTTTTTGGTACCGGGGATCGAACTCCGGACCTTGCACTTGCAAGGTGGGCGGCAGAACCACTGAGCTAAATCCCCCACCCTAAAATACATTTAAATATGGTTCTAAAATTGTATTTAAATATGATTTACATGGAAAATATGTACTATGAGAGCAATTCTATGGATTTATGATAACTTTTTGGACTTGTTTTTGCTCAGATGAAGTTTTACTTCATCTTTTATGCTGCGTTTTACTAATTTCATATTTAATTATATTTTTAATATGAAAAACATTAGGAATAAATGTGATATGAATTCAAAGTGTGCCATCAGGGTAAAAATTGTTTTTCTTTGCTAAGTGTGATGTAGGAATGACATTCAATAAACTCTTCTAAATAGAAAAAAACCCCAGCATGATGCACACTTGTAATGCCAGCACGCTGGAAGCTGAGGCCAACCTAGGCAGCCAGAGTAAGTTCAAAGCCAGCCTGCACTACAAAGTGAGACCATGTCTCAAAAACCAAAACCCAAACCCAAACCAAACACAAGCTAGCATGGTACTGGCACAAAAATAAACACATAGGCCAATGGAATAGAACAGAGTACACAGAAACAAAGCCATGTAAGTATAGCCATCTGATTCTTTTTTTTTTTCAGTTTTCTTTTTATTGGTATATTTTAGATATACAAGGCCAGGGATTTAGCTCAGTGGTTCTGCTGCCTGCCTCACAAGCGCAAGGTCCTGAGTTCGATCCCTGGTACCAAAAACAAAATCAATAATAATAGATATACATAATAACATTCATCCTAGGGAATTTGTACCTGTACATGATATATGTTGCTTCTTTTCCATTCCCTTGCTCTCCCTTCAACCTTCCTTCCCTGTCTTATTTACAAAAGCTGTTTCCAATTTCCCCTTTTCTTTTCTTATCCCTTCCTTCTTTTCCTCCCCCCTCCCTGTTCCCCTTCTCATTTGAACATTTTATTCCCATTTCCTAATATCTATTATACATTCTGGTCCTTATGTACCTTTCAGTTTTAATCTTTATTTCCACTTTCGGTTTCTCACACCAGAGAAACAATGCAGTATTTAAACATGTGTGTCCAAATTATTTCATTTAAGAGTATGGTCTCAAGGTATATCCATTTAGATACTACATTTGATCTTAGCCAAAAGGCCGAGAAGCGATGGGGTACATCCATTTAGCAAGGTAGAAATGCCTCAAGCTCATCCTTTTTTTTTTCTTCTACCAGTATCCGAAATCGAACTCAAGACCTTGCACTTGCCAGGCAGGTGCAGTGCCATTGAGCTAAATCCCCAGCCCTCAAGCTCATCCTTCTTTATGGCAGATTAATACTCCATTGTATAGAAAAAAAATACATCTTCTTTATCCATTCATCGGTCAATGGGCATTTGGGCTGTTTCCAAGATTTAGCTACTACAAATTGTGCCGCTATAAACATGGGTGTGCATATATCGCTGTGGTATGATGCTTTTAATTCTTTTGGGAAGATACCAAGAAGGTGAATAGTGGGGTCAAATGGAAAATCTACGGGGAGTAGGAGGATAAAATTTATTTTAAAAAATGGAACCTCTAGATTTAGATTTTTGAGGACTATCCACACTGATTTCCACAATGGTTGCACCAGTCTACACTCCGAGAAACAGTGAAGGGTTCCTTTTTCCCCATGTCCCCACCAGCATTTGTTGTTGCTTGATTGCTTTTCTTTAACTTGGGACCTTGCACTTGCAAAGCAGGCTGCAGCACCACTGAGCTAAATCCCCAGCCCCTGTTGTTGCTTGATTTCTTTTTTTTTTTTGGTACCGGGAATTGAACGTGGGACCTTGCACTTGTGAGACAGGTGTTGGAACCACTGAGCTAAATCCTCGGCCCTTAGGTATCCTTATGTAGAAGGCTGAAACTAGATTACAGCCAGGCATTATGGTCACAACTATAATCCTAGCACTCTGGGAAGCTGAGATAGGAAGATTGCAAATTTGAGTCCAGCCTGGGCAATTTAGCAACTTAGTGAGAAGGCAGGTCTGAAAAAAAATAGTGAGTAATAATAACAATAAAGGTCTGGGGAATGTAGCTCAGGGTGAAGGCCCAGGGTTCAATCCTCAGTATCACAAAATGGAAAAAAAAAAAAGAAGAAGGAGGAGGAGGAGGAGGGAGGCATGGAGGGGAAGGGGAAAAAAAAAGAAATGGCCAGGGCTGGGATTTAGCTCTGTGGTGCCACTGCCTGCCTAGCAAGTACAAGGTCCCGTGTTCGATCCCTGGTCCCCTCCCCCACCAAAAAGTACAAATGGCCAATAAATATATGACAAAATACATTCAACAAGGTGGGCATGGTGGCTTACATGTGTAATCCCAGCATTCTGGGAGGCTGAGGCACGACGATTGCTGCAAGTTCAAGGCCAGCCTGGGCTACATAGTGAATTCAAGACCACCCTGAACTACATAGGAGGACCAAAAAAATATATATATATCTATAGCATTATATATATCAGTTGTATTCTTACATTCTAGAGCACCTACAAATGTGCCAGGCGCTGGGATTTAAGGGTGAGATAGTGAACAAAAACAGATGTAACTTTACTATCATGATTTCTAGAGGAGGAAACAGAACAATCAAGAAAATGAATATACATTTGCAGTGAGGTTACTGATATTCCTAGGGGAGGCCAGTATTATAAAGCAGATAAAGGAAGTGAGGCATAGTTTCCTTGGGAAGGTGGTACTTGAGCTGGCTGAGGTCCAAGGAAGGTATCCAGGTGATGTGAGTCTTCTGCTTCTCAGACTCCTCTTGGTAACTGATGTCCTCTAGGCCCTCTTTGCTCCAAAATTCCCATGGGCCACTTCTTTAAGTACTATATAGGGAATGTATGGTTATTGTTTCTGTGTCAATAACAGAAAGCAAAAAAAAAAAGCAAAGCCAAAATACAGTAGTGGAACATCAGAATGACCTGAAGAGGTTTTGAAGATTACAGACTCCTTCCTTTCTTGTCTATGAGTGGAAATGGCCATTCAAGAGCTACTTTTCCAGGGTTCTTGGAGGCAGAATTCTGAGTTCATGGAAGAGGGAGAAAGATGGGTGGTCAATGAGGGTTCCAACAAAAGGTCAAAGCCTGTCTTACAGGTGGGGTCTAATGGGGCATTTTAGTATGCCTTGCTGTGTGCAGGATGCACAGATTCAGCTGTAGCAGTGGCCATAGAAAAGGGATGATGGATTGAGAGGCTGGAGAGATGACAGAAGAGTAGAAATTCTGAGTTCCCGAACCTGGGAGATGGGTAAAAGACTGGGCTTATTTTAGGCTATGACAAATTTAAGTTCATGGTGAAATACAAAGTGGCTGGCAAGGAGCAGCTCAAGTAGTGAGGCTGAAGGTGAGGTCAGGACAAAGACTCGGGCTAGACAGACCCTGCCCAGGAGACAGCTCCCCGAGACGTACTCCAAGGAGCCCACAAAGAGAGCGCCAACTGCCCGGGGCACGGGGCTGCAGCTCATCACCAGCCTCGCGGGTTCTTCTCTTCTCTCGGCACCCGGTTCCCAGCGATGGACGTAGGCAAGGTGAGGCGCGTGGTGGAGGTGGTTTCTTTTGGTCCGTGACCAGGACGTCCCTTGGTGCCTCCAACTTCAGTCTTGGGAAGCCTCCCAGCGATTCAGACACAAAGAGCCCTTCAAGCTGCTCTTTTGTGCTCCTCGGGGGTCTGGCACACAGCGGCGAAAGGGAGGCTCTTTACCCGTTTGACAGCCGACAGCAACCACCAGAAGAGCGCCCCGGGATCCCAGGTGAGGTCAGAAACAGGCGTCTACTTCCGCCCCCAGCCGGAAGTGTTCTGCGACTTGCGGTAAATGGGCTTCCGGAGCTCTGAGGGCTATCTCCTGTTCGCAATGGCGGCGTCCTTTGCCGGGAAGAAAATCGTGTTTGTAACAGGGAATGCCAAGAAGCTGGAGGAGGTGCGGGGAGCGTGCGTGGGGCCGAGCGGAAGGCGCTTGGGAATAGGGGTGAGATAGGGCTTTCAGAAGTGGTAAGCACCAAGAAATGGGAGTTCGGCCCGCCGGCTGTGGGGGAGGGATTATGGTGCGGGGAGGGGACGGTCGCTGAGTGAGCACGCCCTGAGGGTCGATGGGATGAGGGCCTCCACAGCTTCCAGCATAGACCTCGCGAGGTCAGCGGCGGCGGGAGCCAGGTGCATGGCAGGGTCCTTAGCATTAGTCCCAAAGAAAGCCTCTTGACCTGGACACCAAACCTCGAAACGCTCTGAGACACTGCTCTGAGATGGATCCACATCCTGCTGCGGCCCCCGAGGTGGTGACCAGAGAGGGCCTGTGTTGGGCAGCCAAACTGAGTCGTCCGCGTCTTACCAGGGTCGAGAAATGCTCCTGGCCACTTTGCACATCTGTGAAATGGGGTGATACCTTTCCTCACCCGTCATAGGGTCATGGAGGACAACTCTGAAATCCAGGCTGGGCGTGGTGGCGTATGCCTGTGATTCCAGCACTCAGAAGGTTGAGGCTAGAGGATCGGAATGAGTTCCAGGCTAGACTTGACTATATAGTGAATGCAAGGCCAGCCTGGAGCACATAGCAAGACTTTGTCTCAAAAAAAAAAGGGGGTTGGGGATTCAGCTCAGTGGTTTCGCTGCCTGCTGTGCAAACCCAAGGACCTGAGTTCGATCCCCAGTACCAAAAAAAAAAAAGAAAAAGAAAAGAAAAGAAAAAAATCCATAACAAGTTTACTTAACCAAAGTTTTACGTGCACCAGAGCCTTCAGAATGAAAACCAAAGACAGACACCCCACCCACCCCCACACATTGAACCTAGGAACCTAGGGCATTCTAGATGTTAGGCAAGCACAGTACCAGTGAGCTACAGTCCTAGCTAGAGACATGTTTTTATTAAATGAACCATAGACCACTGTGTACTATGTGATTAGACAAAAGGGTAGAATCTAGGGCTAGGGATTTAGCTCTGTGTTTCCACCGACTGCCTTGAAAGTGCAAGGTCCCGAGTTTGTTCCCCAGTACCAAAAAAAAAGTAGAATCTAGTGCTTATAGACTGAGCTGGGCCTGTTCTGATTTTGGTTCCTGTGCAGCATTTCTTCCTCCCTGGAAGGGATACCTTGTTAAGGGATCTTATGATACAATGTTAAAGTACCCCTTTGTGAAATGGAGTTTATGAGCTACATTCACACAACATAGGTTAGAGAATACCTTTACACCAGCTCCAGAAGAGAAAGGCAGAGCAATATTAAGAGTAATATTTTGGGTCTTTATAGCTTGCTTTGAGGAAAAGGAGTTTTAGTTTCTGTGACCTACCTTAAGAGAAATTTGTGTTTCTTTTTTTATTTATTAATTTCTGTGTTTTTTTGGTACCAGGGATCAAACTCAGGTCCTTGCACTTATGAGGCAGGCAGCGGAACCACTGAGCTAAATCCCTGGCCCAATTTCTGGTTTTTTGAGACAGGGTCTTGCTATATAGTCCAGGCTGGCTTCGAAATTTGTGTTTCTATGTCTTGCCTTTAGGAGGAGAAAGAAGGGGCTGGGGATGTAGCTCAGTGGTGCTGTGCCTGCCTTGAATGCACAAAGTCCTCAGTTCGATCCCTGGTACTGAAAAAAAAAAAAAAAAAGAAGTGGAGAACAAAAGGTCAGAGAAACACTTTTCCTTCTTTCTTTTTTGAGATAGGGTCTCACTATGTAGCCCAGGTTGGCCTTGAACTCGTGGCAATCATCCTGTCTCAGCCTCCTGAGTGCTGGGATTACAGGTGTTTTCTACCATGCCCAGCTAAGACTTTGCTTTTTAAAGCTTCCTCTGAGGGCCTAAAGCCCTGTACTTTGGGGTATGGTTTTTCTAGGTGCCAAAAGGATGATATGGGACATCTGTTTCGCAGCACTATAGAAAAGAGTAAAGGTTGCTGTGGATCTCAAGAGCCTATCTGGTAGTAAGGCACCAGGTGACTCATGGGAATTCAATGCTAAGGTACCCAGCAGGACCCAGGACCCAAGGATTCACTCCAGGGGTTGGCTAGCCTGTCTTTGTAGTTCCCTAGTCCCTTTGGAATCTACTTTCTTTCCTGTTGATAGAGGGATGGTGGGTCTTCTGCCATCCATTAGTTCTGATTGGCCCTGGATCAAGGGTTTGCCTCTGCATAGACAGCCTGGACAGGGAGGTGGAGTCATGTGTGGGGAGTTAGGAGTTGACATCCGCTGCATAGGTCTTTGGCAGTTCAGTGAGGTACAGTAGAAGAAACTTTATTTGTCTGTAGTGTAGGGACTGATGCACTTCGGTGCCAGGACAAAGGTGGCCCTCTCAGGAGCCAGAGCCCTGTTCATAAAAGATGTGGCTCCTAGGGCTGGGGATGTAGCTCAGTGGTTTCACCTCCTGCTGCACAAGCACAAGGACCCGAGTTCGATCCTGGTACCCAAAAAAAAAAAAAAATGTCTCCTGAGGACAAACCAGTCAAGCAGTCAGGCTGTGCCATCCTGAAT